AGTGGTGACAGCAGAGCAGAGGCCGGTTATGAAGTCAGTGAACAATCCTAAAAGCTTGAGGTGATGTAGACTTAGTCACTTTATTTCTAGGGCAATAATGGGCCCTTTGAATCCAAGAGATTCTAAGGAAAAGCATTTCTGGACCATTCTTTCTTTAAATCCCCACAAGGAAATAATATTAGAAATGAGATTGCCTCTCATCGTTCATTTTACTCTTCCCTCTAAGTCAACTGGAATAATCCCATTCTTCTTACCACATTGACTGGTTCATTGATAGCCCAAGAGGCCTGCATGGAGGAGGGGGATTGAGCTGGCCTTTGAACACAGAGCAGAATTTTGATAAGTGTTCTTCACTTTTGAAACAGGAATATGTCAGGTTTGTTCAGAAACTGTGAGCAAATGTTTTTAACTAAAGCAAAATGTCATATTGTCTTTTATTTCCCAGAGCTGCCTAGGTGATTAAACTCAATTCTTATATTCACTAAGCAATTTTTGAACAGTGCATGGTATTGTACTTATGGAGTTCAAAGGAACTTGCCTTCAGGTTGAGAAACTCCCCTACAAAGATAAACACATTGACTTTAGAACTGAAAAGGCCTAAAACATAATCGGGCACAATCCATTCATATTAAAGTACAGACACTGAGGCCCATGTAGCTTAAGTGAATGAAAGCAGCAAAGCATGCAGGGAAAAGTACAAGCAGTAAGAGTCATTTAAACTCTCTTACTTTAATTTCCACTGGAAAAGTGGCAGTAATAGCACAAGAAGCTATTGTTGTGATTCAGGGAGATAGGATATGCAAAGCAACAGGCACAAAATAGATACTAAATGAATATTCCCTGTCATTTTCTTTCTCCCCCTCTCGATAATAACAGTAAATGTATGGCTGAATTAGGAATCACTCTACCTTAATTCCCAGGAGACCCTTCTACACAGCGCAGGAACCCATTGTTAGAAATCCAATGAGAACAGACCACAGAGGCCTCCAACTCTCTCCCAAATGGAGCAGGTATCATCACAGATTCTTTTATCTTGCCTTGTACATGTACCAAGCTCATTCTCTTCTCTAGACCTGTGAACACCTTGATTCCTAACCCCCATCCCTGTAGGAATATCTTTCTTCCTCTTTTCCACCTACCTCAATCCTCTCATTCACTCATTCGTTCAGACAGTCAGTCTGAATGGAGTCAGTCAGTTATTAAATATTTATTGAGCGCTTACTATGTGGCAGACACTAGGACAGGGTTTAAGGCTATAGCAAAGCTCTGCCTTCAAGGGTCTAGCTGGGGCACGGTCTAGCTGGAGCCCAGATATGCTCATCCCAAAGAAGTTAAGAAAAATGTTCCAGAGATATGCGCTTGGTGTCTTGGGAACATGGGGAGAGGGAAGACTAGGTCTGCCTGAAAGGTCTCTGCCATTGTTCTACCCCATTACATCCATCAGGCTCTTCTCTGCTGCCTATTATATACTATCGCATATGGAGATAGCCACACACAGTTGATCCCCAAGTGTATACACTGCTTCCTAATGTTACAGTGACACCAGGATATGGATAGGCATGAGGTATATCCAGCCAGACAGGACCCGGGCAATCCAATCAAGCACCATATGTCAAGGAGGTACCTGAGATTCATCTAGAAAAGTATATGCCCAGGTACAGAGGATGGATAATTCCTTCACAAACACACTTTACCAAGGGCCTACTGCAGTGTTTCTAAGTCTTGGGTGGACATCAGAGTCATCTGGGAGCATTTGCAAACTACAAATGCCTGGATCCTATCCTAGACTTAGGGAAGCAGCATAATAGGCATATGGGTTTTTAAGTGACATATGGTTGGTTCTAACGATTAATTAGCAGAAGCTGGGAAGCTCTCGTCTGTTTTGTGCCAGGCATTTGAAGAAAACAGAGAATAGAGACATGAATGAAACACAACCAGTCCTATTCCTGTCTTAGAAGACAGGTCTCTGTTCTAGAAACACTTATAGTCAGGTGGGAGAGACAGGCAAGTAAAGAGTCACGATCCCCAGATAAGATGTTTGATAGAGACAGGTACAAAGTGATGTTGGAACAACACAAAATCACCAAGTTCCACTTGAAATCTGGTCTCAAGCAGCACCGCACACAGCCATTCCTTTCAGCAGCCCTTGAATTGCTCTAAGTGGCGATGGATAATTTCATAAAAGTCTGGAACAGCTGCTAAGAGTCCTTTTTAAAGCTGAAAGTAAAACAAACAAGCATGAAGTTTTACAGAGCCGAGAATAAGCTCCAGAGAGAGTGAGAGCAGCGGAAATAGTTACTGGGATGGAGACGGAGATCACAATGTACCTTGTTTCAAACCCCACAAGCTTGTCACCTCACCCACTTGCAAGTCCTGTGGGCAGTCTGAGCTTCGCTGAGGGGGGTGGCGGGGAGACGCCAGGACGGGAGGGCTCAGAGCTATTTCAGTCTCAAGGCCGACATCCACGGAGACCTTGAGTTCCGTCATCGAAACTGTCTGGACTTTAGGCCCCTTATGCCAAATGCGGTTTCCAGAAAAAGGATCCGTCGCATATTTGGACGCCCATCAACCAAAAGTCGTCTCGTCACTTTTGTGCATGAGATCTTTTCATTGGTAAAGAGTGTATTATTGTGCTTAATTATGGGCTTTGAGGAGATGGCAGAGAGCAGCGGAAAAGCATCAGCTCGGAGTCAGAGTCCTGGGTCTGAATCATGGCTCTGCCCTCACCAGCTGCGGGGCACTGGCTGGTGGGCCTCAGTCTGCTTGTACGGTGACAGAGAATTACCTCGCAAGAGTTACCTATGTTGTAGGGCAGCTGTTAGGACTAGATTGTTAATGCATGTCAAGAATCCGGCATTATTCTTCTATTCAGATATTTCATAATCAGTAGTTAGCATTAATGGAGTGATCTTTATCACAGTAGCATTTGGCAAGTGAGATTTCATTTTTATTCCAGAAGTAGTATATGTACAGTGGTATGTTTAAACACGTGTGTATATATATTTCCCTTTTCTTGTAAAAACTATTGTTTACATTAAATTTCTATTTCCCAGTGGAACTTGCCATGATTCAAAAATAGCTCCTTGAGCTCACCTTTCCTGGGAAGTTTTTAGATGGAGCCTTACTGGTACCCTATGGAAGCTGAGTTTCATCAGCTTGAGGATTTGTTCTTTTTAAATACTTTTAGTTTATTTTGTAATCATCTATGCCATGATTAATTCTTTTGTTAAGGAAGGAGTGACGCAGAAAATGGTTAAGATCGGAAGCCTTTGTCCCTACCACTCAGCCACTCATTGCCTAGGACTTGACTCTATCTCAAGTACAGGGGTAATAGCGGCCCTGTGCACCTTACAAAAGTTTTTCTTGTTTTTCCCTGAAAAATAAGTCAGATAAGGTCATGAATAAAAAAGGATGTTATAAATGAAACAAGATATGTAAATTCAATTTATGACAATTTTTGCCGTGGATCTTTTTGCAACATATGAGAAAGTTCTGTGTGCTATGACCAACTGCCCAATGCCATTGACTGGCTGGCATTCGATGCCTGGGAGTCACCTTGAGGTTACTGAGAGCTCCCTCCACCACCGGATATCAGGAGATTGGGCAACTTTCTTGAGTAATTGTCTCCTCTGACTCATGTTCCTTGCAGCCCCATAATGACCTGTGCACTACCCAGGGTGAGCAAGGAATTTCCTCTCTGGAGTTGTTTAAGGAAAAGCCCCAAACTTTTAGCTTAGTCTTTTTTTATACCTCTTCCAATACTACCTACCTGAGTAGCCACAGAACAAATCTGTGCGGCTCTGGATTCAGGTTCGCTTTAAGGTATTTTGAGCGGATACTCTGGAAAAGGCACAGAATCTCCACTTCTCTAGTCAGATTATGCTCAAGGATACCCATGTGTCTTTAAAGGGTTACTGGAGATGGGAGAACATAGTTAATGTAGAGTGAATGCCAACAAGTGGGCAAGAGATACTTTGTAAGCGTAGGTGACTGTCTTTCTCTGTTTCTGGCTTCTCCTTTGTTTTATTTTTTTACTTTTTTTCCTTACTTTCCCTTTACTATACTCTTTTACATTAAATAGACTCACCATGGAATTCCCACACATAAGCCATTAGCTTCATTAGAAGTACTCAGAATGCAACGGTTGTAGACATGTGGTCCAGGTCTCAGATTCTCACCCCTTGCTGTGTATTGTAATAACCTGGAGAGCTAAAGGAAACTGATGCCTGAGTTAGTATCTTGGGGACAGGCTCTGGGCCTGGTAATTTTTTAAAGTTTCCAAAATGATTCTAATGTGCATCCAGGTTACACTGGTTGAAAATACTTGGAAAGCAAAGATATGACCAAGCTCTTCTAAAAATAAAATGAAAAAAGTTATGGCTCAAAGAGCTGCAATCACATGGTTTGGCCATACTTGCTTGCTTTTTACCATTTAAATAACAAGTGTTTTTTGAGAACCACAGAAAGAGGGGTTGGTGATGCCCAGGCAGATGTAGGTGAACTTCAAAGATAAGGTGAATGACAATGAAACAATATTAGAGCTAATATTGTTTGGGAACGTACTCTGAGCCATGAGCTACACTAAACACTTTTACATACATTACATCATCTAGTTTACTCAACAACTCTATGAGGCATTCTTCTTCTTCCCAGATTACAAGTGAAGACACAGAGGCATCACATGACTGCTTAAAGAGCTCAAGATCTGACCACTAGTTCAAAGTGGAGCCAAGAGATTTGAACACAGGCAGCTGGAATGCAGTCTTCCTTTGGATCGTCATATGATACCTTCTCGCTGCATTAACAGATAAGATGAAAATATGGAAACTTTCTGGAGCATTGGTTCTCAGTCTTGGCTGCGTACTAGAATCATTGTTAGAGCTTTGTAAAAAGTTCTTTGCTCAGATCACACCTTAGACCAATTTAATCCACATAGCTCAAGAATGGGACCCAGACATTAATATTTTTTAAAGGTGAATCCAACGTGCAGACAAGATTGAAAACTACTGGATTAGAGCAAAGAAAACACTACAGGTAAGAGTTATTGGGGAAAGTTTTATAGGTAATATGCTCCCTGAACTTGGCATGAGATAGAATAATGCCCTCCCCCCACCAAAGGTGTTCATATCCTATTTTCTGGGACCTCAGAATATGTTGCCTTATGTGACAAAGGGGAAGTAGGCGTTCAGATGGAATTAAGGTTGTTAATCAGTTGATATTAAAATGGGGAATTAGCTTGGATTATCCAGTGGACCCAGTGTAGTCACATGGGTCCTTGGCAGTGGGAGAAGGAGCCTGAAGGAAGAGAAACAGAAAGATGGCAGCCTGAAAGGACTTGGCCCAATGTTGTTGGCTTTGAAAATGGAGAAGGCGCTTAAGGAATGCAGGGGACTTCTAGAAGCTGGAAAAGACGTGGAGATAAGTTCTACCCCAGAGAGTCCTGAATGAACACAGCTCTTGCCGACACCTTGATTTTAGCCCATTGAGACTCATTTTGGACTTCTGTCCTCCAGAACTATAAGAAAATAAATTTGTATTGTTTAAACCACTGTTTATGCTGATCTGTTTCCGCAGCAATAGAAAGTTAATATAGTGCCTTAAAAAGGAAAGGTCTGGAGGAATGTGTGGTAAAAGTGAAAAATACCCATTTAAACTGCAGATTAGATTTTCTGTGTATAATCATCTACGTACTGAGTACCTTACATCTCTGCCCTATGCAATGCTTCTACCATATTGGCGTCTGTAGCTTGAAGTTGAGCCAGGATTCAAACCCAAGCCTTCTGGACTCTAGATGCAGTGCTCATTCCAGTTACCATCCTGGGTGCTTTTCCTCAAGCCCATTTGGAGTTCTGGTGGTTTTTCTATTCTCCCTTGAGCAAAAGGCAAAAAACATGATGTCTCAGAGGACTTTATGGTAGCATGAAAAAGGATTCTCATACAAGCTGCTTAGAGGAACAATTACTGCTAATTACTTGGCTGTTTAAAGAAGATTGGTCTGATAGTTGCATGATGCAAGAAGGATTGAAGTAAATGAAGCGGGGGCAGGCAGCTCAGTCAAGAAGTTGGACCAACGACTTAGCCTCCTGCGGGTTTGAATTCTGAAGGGCAGTGTTAATGGTGGTTGTGGAAGTGAAGAGGAGAGGGTGGATCCAGCAAACCTGGAGAAGAAAATCAGCCCAGTGGACATTATCCTACTTGAGAGTGTAAAGGAAAGGCAAAGGTAGAGTCAAAGATAGCTCCAGGTTTTCGGGTGTGGCTAGCTTAAATGGTGGTTGGTGGTGCGCCTGACACAATTGAGGATGCTAAAAACGGGGAACAAATTTGGGGAGTGGGAGGGATAGAGTGGTGGGCTGTAATAAATAACTTGATTGGTCTTGGTCCCTACGAGGGATACTCTAAATCCTTGGACTATCCCAAGTGATAAAGAATATCTTTTTTATGCTAACAGAATGACTCATGGTAGCCCTCTAGATAGTTTTAGCATGGGGGTTGGTCAAAGGAAAGACCAACAGTGTTGCCCAAAGTGTTGGGAGTTTTAGCTATCTTAACTTCTTGCATTGAAGAGGACTGGAAATTGAGTTCAATCAGTCATGCTCATGTAATGAAACCCCAATATAAACTCTGAATTGTGGAGCCTCCTGGTTGGTAAACACATTATTGATCTACTGGGAGGGTGATGCATCTGACTCCATGTGGAAAGGGCATGGAAGCTCCGTGTCCAGGACCCTCCCACATCTTGCCCCTAAGAGTGTCCTTTATAATAAACAGTAATCATAAGTATAGCACTTTCCTGAGTTCTAAGAATCATTCTAGCAAATTATCAAACCTGAGGATGTTGTGAGAACCCCTTTTTTGTAGCCAGTCTGTCAGAGTATGTGTGGCCTGGGGACCCCTGAAACATGTGGCTGACAGCTGGCCTCTGACGAGGGCAGTTTGTGGAGGGAGGACTTTGCCTTTACTTTGCAAGGTCTGTGCTAACTCTGGCTAGTTAGTGTGAGAATTGAATTTCTGTTCATCCATTTGGGTGGAAACGCAATAGATGGACACTAACATGACAGATATCTGCGGGCAAAACTCAGAGTTTCCCCTCAACACTAGATCAAAAAGAAAATGCAGAGAACCTTAAATACAACTTTCAAATGCCCAGTTCTTAATTCTGAATTAACTGCCCACTGACTTCCCCAGTGTCTGTGGGCCAGTGTGGTCGAATGAAATATCAGGGGTTTTAAAGACAAAATGGAGCTCAAATTCTCTCTCTGTCACTTACTTGCTGTGAAACCCTGGGCATGTAACCTGTTCTCTCTGGCCCATAGCCCCTTATCTTTAATATGGGAATATTATAGGGCAATTCATAGAGCTGTTAAGAGAATGAACATTAAAAGGGTAAGATCCTGGCACATGACAGATGCTCGGTGAATGTTATTTTCTGCTGTTCTTTAAGATTATTTCCAGTTGGAATGGTTCTTTCTGAGAGATTTTCTTTTATCCCGATTCATCTAAAGGAAGTCAGAGTGATGGATACAACTTCGCTGAACACTCCACAAACTCTGACTTGGGAATAGGCTGATTCAACCCCTCCAATGTTAGAAAGTTTTGTTTTAAAGAGGGTCTGACTGTAATGGAAATTTCATGATCTCTAGCATGTGATGGGAGAGCATTCCTACCATGCCTGCAGCTGCTCGGTGCCCCATGGTCATGAGCCATCCAGGCAGTAGGTGCCCTGTGTCCAGACCCTGCCTAGCACCATTGTCACGGGCACACAGTGCGCTTCCCAGCAGGCCTGGGGCCCAGAATGGAAGCCAGGCCTGCGGATACCTCCTCATTTCTTTCATCATCTTCTCCTGACTTGCCTCTCTTCCATTCTGTGGGAAAGTAGTCTCTGCTCTGAACCAAATAACCAGCAGCATTTTCTGAAGGAATGGCCCCTTATCATTTTCCTCAAAACAGTCACACAAATGGCTGAGAACATCTCTGTGAATTTCTCCCTTGTGAAAGAAAAGTGTAAAGAAACAGCATTTTCCTATGCCAAGTACTGCGAGAGAAACATGGAGTATCCAGAGAAGCTCCTGAGGTTTGCTCTGTTGATTATGCAGACAGGCAGGCTGAGCCCAAAGCAATCACACTATTTAGGAGAAGAAACAGGACTGAAAATGAGCTGTGTCTCACTCCAAAGCCTTTGCTAAAGGCTTACTGACCCATGTGGGCCCGCTTCAGAGAAAGACAGCTACTCGTTTCTAGGTAGAAACTGCTCTTATTGTCTTTTTATTCCCAGAGTCCATCAAATGTTATTTTTTTCTAGAAACTTTATTATGCTATTAAAAATGTGGTTTAGTCAACAAAGCCAATTTTAAATAATTAGGAAAAAATACATAGTACCAGTTACACCCAAGTGCAAGTCTGCTGGCTTTAATTTATATTTATATACCCAGTCTCTACCTCATGATTTGGGTTTAAACAGAAATTTATTGTGGAGGCTTCAGCAGAGCTTGCTTCCTTTGCCATCTCCTCTCAGTAGTCATATCCTGGATGCTCTCCTTGCCACTAGTGCTTAATAGAAGAGTACATCTTTTCACCAACCAAAGCAGATCCCTGAGAGTGGCATGGTCTCCTGCTGGAGGGAAAAATTTGATCCAGACTCAACAAAAAGCAGATGTAATTTTCCATACAAAACCATTACTCTTGGCTGGTGGATTTCTGTTTTTCAGAATTGTGACTTTTTCTGTCTTGACTCCTGCTGTTACCCTATTTCAGAAGTGATGTTTGGCAGCTCCAGCTTAAATCCAAATGTGTAATCAGGATAGATCATTGTAGGATGTATAACTTGGGATATCTGGGACTAGATCAGGCAAACATTGCACCCAGTCCAAGCAGTAGATAACAAGAGACCCCAACAAAAGAATGGGAGGTGTCAGGGGCAGTCAGCTAGTGCTAGGGCTGTTAAGATTTAGTAATATAGTGATGAGATAAGTTGGTCAGGGAGATTCAGCTAATTGGGTCTTGGGGATTTAATGAGATAATGTCTATAATGGTCCCAAGTGTAGGGCTATGCTCCTAGCAAGTTCTCAATAAAGGGCATTTACTATGAAAACCAGGGTCACTGTACAAGCAATGGCAAATCTGAAGGTAAATTAGTAACTTCATGGCTTTTGGCTTTATGGAACATTGTTTTCCCAGAACATAAATGGGTCCAGAATCTGGGGCTAACAGGAAAACATTTAGTAAATGATAATGGTTATTATTATTGCTGTTGCTGTTATTACCATTAGTATTAGCATCAAGGGAGACAGTTAAGCAGCCAGGTGATCATTGCAATGATAGATGTGTGCACAGCATGATTAAGTCACCCAAAGAGGGAAAGCTAGTTGTTCCTCATCTTCATCAAGAGAAACACAGTTACCCAGGAGTCTTAGTAAGACAGGAGCTCTGAGTTCTTCTACCAGCTGTGCAGTTTAATTTCTCCCAGCCTCATTTGGATCCTCAAGGATTAGATACAGTATTTCTCAGAACTGCCCAGTAAGAATTCTAGCACCTTTTTCATGATCCATGATATCAAAAGCTTTCTGAAGGGTGCAGGAATGTGCATTTTGAACAAACATCCCAAGTGATGCTTATAACAAACACTCAGAACAGCGTATAATTCCAAGTAGGAGTTTCTATTAAAGAAACCATTTCTGCCTAGTCTCAGTTTCAGTGTGAGACCTGGAATTGGGTTGTATTGGCTCTGTCAGCATGAGTGTGTGTAGTAGGGGAATCACTATAGCAATACAATTATTTTTAAAATGCTTAAATCCGAGGTCATCACTCTTCAGGGTGATTTAGGAATTGCTGGGCCAAGGCAGGAGGGATGAGCAGATGACCTCATGTTGTCTCTCAGAGACCTACGATTCCACAAGAATGACACAGGTTTTATGCATGATCTGTCCAGTTTACCTCCTCTTGTCTGAAGTCAGTGAGTCATGAAAAACCAAAATTGCTATAGAAATGTCAGTTTGGAAGATGTCTTTGTTTTAGTTAGACGAATATTTGTGGAAGTATGACTTAAGCTTTTGTGTCTCAAAAGATGAGGTGGATTTCCCTGGGAAAAGACTCAAGAAGGCCCAAGGAAATGAGAGATATATTTTGTATTAAATACTTGGAAAAAGACAGGGATCCTGACCCATTAGTCATAACCAAAAGCCCAGTGATGGTCCTCCTCCTGTGGTGACTCTTCTGGAAAGACTAATGGCTCTTTAATGTGACCTTTCCTTTCCCATCTAGGCTCCCACCTCAGTCTGAGTTGTCTGTTTACCTCATGGCTGAACCATTTTAATAGTCAATTCTCCTGGGGTAATTGTCTCTAGCCTCTAATCCATTCTCTACTTTCCTGCCAGAATAATCTCTTGAAATGTTGTTTTGCAAACACCAATACCTCTCTTCAAACCTCAATGGCTCCTATTGTGTTTCTAGGTAAATAGAAAATTAAAGAGCCTCAGGTGGTAAAGACCTCACAGTCGTCACAGTGAGCTCCCCAAATCCAGACATCTCTGTCTGGTGTTCAGGGATGTCTTATTTACTCCACATATTAGTCAGGACTCTTGTTTAGGAATGACAGAAACTGGCTTGGATGATAAAGGGAAGTGAGCGGTTCACAAAACAAAATAACGGGAAGTAAGGATGTGGCTGGAGCTCGGGGCTGGAACATCATCAGGGTTCCTTGCCTGTCTCTTCCTCCAGGTTCTCTCTGCTAGATTCCTTTCTCTGTGGCCTCCGGCAGCTTTAGGTTTACACTTTTATAGCTTTCCATTGGATAGAAAAACAATTCTAAGTAATTCCAAATGCACAGATCCTCAGAAAGGTGTCTTATTGAACAACTTGGAACAGCGATGGTGAAGAACTGGGGTGAGCAGAAAGAGAGGCTATGGGGTGTGGTGGGAGAAAGCAGTTCCCTAAAAGAAGGAGCTGCTTACCAGACTAAAACGAAGAGTTCTGGGTAGACAAAGCAGTCGGCCTTTCTACTGCAACCACAGTGTGTTGGTAATAAATTTCTATGGGTTTATTTTATATTACTTTTTGGATTTTTATATAAACTGCATGAGACTAGACAATGTTTTCTTAACATGTTATGCACGTTTTAGCCCCTACGGCTTTTCCAATGCAAGTCCTTATGTCTAAAATATCCCATCTATTTCCCTCTGTATCTATAAGACCCAGCTAAACTTACTGTGATATGACATTTGATGACTGTGCCGTGTTTATACAGTTCAGTTGGCACTAAGTGTATACTATCTAGTATTAGCAATTACTCTTTCGTGTGTGTATCCTGTCCCCCCAACTAGATTATAACCATTTTCAGAACAGATGTATTTAAACTCGGTTACAGAGATTATCGTTGCAGGCTATGATTACCCTTAAATCCCTGTTTCATGGTTTCCTAGACTTGAGGAGCGAGAAATCTGGAAAACGTTAGCAAGAAAGTCAAAGAATTATAGTTGTATTCAATATCAACAATCATAATTACACTAATTATAGCCAATGTTATAAACCTTGATCAAGGGAAGAGAGCAGTAAAAGTTTATCCCTCACATTGAGTTTGGGCATCAGTTTAGGGAACATGTGCAAAAATGCTGAGTGTTTGGAAAGGAGCTACTTCCAGGGTTATCAACCTCTGCACTGGTAAGAGAGTGCAGAAGTCTCTGTTCTCAGCACGTTCCCTTTCTCTCACACTCAGCTCTACGCCTTAACATAAACACTGCTGTGTTTGACAGGAACAGTTTCACAAATAGCAAATGAAAACACCCTAAAGTTATGCTCCTGAGAGTAGCAATGGTTTGCCACCACATCTCTTGCTTAGAACTGGGTAGAAAGTGATTTGAATTCAGTACTCTGGGCACTCAAAAGTATTTTTTCACTGAATTAACAAATTAGATTTTCAAAATGTAAATAAAATACTGAAGGTGATCTATTGAATAAGGGGCTTTACTGGAGCCTGGCTGGTGTGGCTCAGTGGTTTAGTGTTGACCCATGAATCTGGAGGTCACAGTTTAATTCCCGGTCAGGGTCCAGGTCCAGGTTGTGGGCTCGATCCCCAGGAGGGGACATGCAGGAGGCAGCCGATCGATGACTCTCTCTCATCATGGATGTTTCTCTCTCTCTCTCCCTCTCCCTGCCTCTCTCTGAAACCAATAAAAAATATGTTTTTTTAAAAAGATGCTTAATGGAATAGGTAGAATAGAAAAACATGGTTACATAAATAAAGACTTCATTGAATATTTTTCATGACGGCTCTAGAATAAGGATTTCAAAATTGCTTTAGTCCATAATACTGACTCATTAGAAATACTTTACGACTTATGTAGGCTTCTGGATGGACAAGAGGATACAGTGAGTCTGGACTCACGTGGATTGTTTTAACTCCCACTGAATCTTTCACAGTGTCTTTAAAAAATACAGGAGGGTAGTGCCAAGTTCTATAACTTGCAACCAAAATAACTTACATAGTTGGAGTCTCAATGCTAGTGTCAGCAGTTAAACTGGTGGTTTGAACCATTTGTATGCTAAGCTTGACTTTAAAAGTTCTCCAGTTTTAACATAATAAATGCTTTGGAACTTGTTACAAATGCAGGTTTCTGCCCTTCTCACCAAAGTTTGTCAATATCTTGGCCCAGAAATCTGCATTTTTAACAATTCCCAGGTGGTCCTGGTGATATAAGAACAGAGAAAATTATAAAAACTCAGAACCATTAATATCCCATTCAAATAAAAACAAGAGGAAAAGCAGTGAAAAATAATTTGAAAACTTTAATGATGTTGTTTATATAGCAAAAAAACATAAAATCTCTTAAATAAGGTACATTCAATTTCTCAGCGCATCTAATATTCAGATAATTTATATTTCAAACACTTTCCAACATTAAACAATTGACTAAATAATGTATTCTCTATAAAATGATATCATAGCTTATATAGGTAAAATTATATTACAAAAACACCCCACACAGGAAGAGTGGCAGTACCTCTTCGGAAATGCTACAAACTTTCCATTAAAAAATATATTTTATCTCTTTCATTTGTCATAATAAACAGAATATATAAAAATTTTTCTTTCTAAAATTAAGTCCACACGATTTCCCTTTAGGACAATAATATGTACAAACCTTATATCTGAATGAATATAAATAGCAAATACTGTAATAGTGTTACAGATATATTAGTACTTTTACAGGGAAGAAATGGCTTTTTCATAAAAGCCTCTAGACAGCTGCGATCTCAAAGCTCCTGAAGTTAGACATTCCCATATTTAGCGAGGCCCCACGCAGCCTAGTTTCTCATTTCCAGTTGAATTACTTCAAGCAGTAATAAGGGGGGGAAACATAGTCAGTAGATACTGGACCAGATCTGCCAGTTGGATAAACTATTTGGGGCTTACTGAGCTTTGGGGGGAGAAGTTGGCTCTTTCTCCATAGCATAGTTTTGCTTTCGTGTGCCTGGGGCCGAGTGGAGTCCTGGGCAGTGAGAAAGAAGCCACTGTCCCCCCTCAAGTGCCTGAGAACCTGAGAAACAGTTTACTCGTCCGTCCGACCTGGTCCACGGGGAGGAAACGGCCCAGCGGCCGCCTCCGGTTACAAGCAGCTTATCTTTGCCGACTGGACGTGGTTCCCCAGCATTTCTACGAACAGCTTCTGATAGAGCCGGTACATGGCGAAGCCGTGCAGGAAGCGGACGGCCTTCCTCAGCCTCTGCGCGGCCGCCTGCGGGAAGCGGGGCGCCTTCAGGCGCTTCAGCGCGTGCACCAGGCCCTGGAGGGTGTCCTGGTCGCCGTTCTGCACCCGCCACAGGCTCAGCAGCTTCGGGACCTGCTCGCCCGACGCGCAGGCCTTCGCCGTCCGCTCGATGTCTTCGGGCGCCACCTTCTTCCCCGGCAAGCTCTCCATCAGGCTGCGCAGCTGCTGCGAGGTGAGGTTCGCGCGCCCCAGGTGCCGCCGCACGCTGCGCTCGCACAGCTCGATGTCTGCGGGCCAAGCGGAGAGGTCAGCCGCGCGTCCAGCAATGCCGCGCGCATCCTGCCCACGCCGCGCGCGTCCTGCCCGTGCCACACGCGTCCTGCAATGCCGCGCGCATCCTGCCCGTGCCGCGCGCATCCTGCCCATGCCGCGCGCATCCTGCCAACGCTGCGTGCGTCCTGCCAACGCCGCGCGCATCCTGCCCATGCCGCGCGCATCCTGTCCGTGCCACACGCGTCCTGCAATGCCGCGCGCATCCTGCCAATGCCGCGCGCATCCTGCCCGTGCCGCGCGCGTCCTGCCAGTGCCACCGGCTGCCAGGGGGCGGGGGTTCTGCAGTTCACAGCCCCGAGGACAAACTTTCCCTTATTCATTCATTCATTCATTCATTCATTCATTCACTTATTTATTTATTTTGGCGGGGGGTGGGGGCTTAAGCGATGCTAGCTAATAGCTGAGAACTGAGCTATTACTGTGTTAGGATAAGATAACGTGCTGTGCGTTCTAGGCCGCCAACAAAGCATCGTGAGCAGCTCTAATTTTGAAAAGCAAGCTAGAAAATGACAGACACATCATTCTCAGTTTGAAAAAAAAGTCTGGGAAATTCAAACCCTAGTATTTCAGAGAAATAGAAAGGATTTAAGTTAGTTATTTTGCTATAAAAACTCTCATTACTGCCTGGCCGGGCATGGCTCAGCAGTTGAGCATCGACCTAGGATCCAGGAGATCGAGGTTTGATTCCCGGTCAGGGCACATGCCCGCGTTGCGGGCTCGATCCCCAATGACTGTCTCATCATTGGTGTTTCTCTCTCTCTCTCCCTCTGCTGCCCTCTCTCTGAAATCAATAAAGGTATATAAAAATTTTTTTTTTTAAACTCTCATGAGTTGATATCTGGCGTGTGGGCTATTTTCAAAGAGCTCGCTGCTTCCGATGGTCTTAATAAATGGCACGGGAGGATCCCCACCAACCACAGAAGAAAATCTAAAAACACAATGGTATGAGGCCGAGGAAGGCAGTGAGACACACGGCCTGGGGAACATTTCCGTAATGAGCTAGGACATAAACATAAGAGGGAGTAACTAATGTTTCTAATAATGACATGAGTCATTTGGTATCTGAGCCCTAAGGCAAGTTCAGTTCATCTTTCTGGGCTGAAATGTCCTCATTTATAAAACAGGGATTTGGTCCCTTCCCATGCTAACAGTCTCTGATTCTCTGCTTCCCTTTCTTTTTGCTTCAGGGCTAATTATACATTCAAAGAATACATTTTGTTTGCTGAAAAGAGAAGAAAAGTTTACTTTTGCACAAGTGAAAGCATTCAGCTGTCAAAAATGTTAGTCTGCTAACGTCTGTTGCCTCAGTTTCAACTGTGAGGCTTTCAGGGTAGTGCCAGGGCTCCTCAGTAGTTTTGGGAGGCTCTCCAGGGAGAATTACCAAATAAATTCAGTAGGGAAGAGGCAGGGGCATTTCTCACTGCCACTGTCTGCCTTAGGAAAAGCCTCCCTCATTTTCTCGTGACATACCCTTCCATTGCTAATTGAATTCAGAACTCTTCCCCCTGTATAACCTAAAGCTTATGGTACACACTGTATGAAATTTATCTTCCCTTTGGATTCTATCATCATCATCATCACCACACTCACTTTCTAAAAGACATTCTTTAGAAAACTCTTAAAACCTGGTTTTAACTAGCCCTTTTCTCCAAGAAACTCAATCACTTTACAGACCTTATCTCATTAATCCTTACAACATATGCTATTAAAATGGTAATTTTAAAATAGGCTATGTTTCGAGGATTAATGAGAGGCTATCTGAAGACACTGGGAGGCTACCTAGAGAGAATTACCAAATACAACAGAGCTTCTTGGTGGAAATGCAAGGTAAGATTCAAGGTGGTTAAAGAATTTCTAGGAAGGTCAGAGAGGATGCTAATAAAACTGCTGAGGGATTTAAAGGCAGATTTCCTGAGGTCTAACCCTGCCCTTGAAATGCCTCGTGGCTTCTTTATACACTAACAGGAAAGAGGGATGGAACATGTGGAGGAAATGAGAATAAAACCCTGCATGACTGCTCTAGGATCAGCGTGTACACCGACACTTCGTGAAGACTTTTTCAGTCCAACAACAATTCCGAAAGGAAAACATCATGCACACAGCTAAACCCATGACTAGAACCCGACGGCATCTTTGATTTCTGATTGACTTGTTGATTTCCGGTTATCATACCTTGGATGATCTTCTTGACCGTATCCTGGCCTTTGTTTTGGTGTTTCCATAACTTCAGCAGCTGGAAAGCCTGCTCTTGGGAGCTGTGTCGTCTTTCTATCCTCTCTACACTCTCCGCGTTTACTCTGGTGCCAGGCAAATTGTCTACCAGGACACTGAGCCAGTTAGGGGTGACTTTGGTAGGAACAGCAAACCGGAAGAATGCCTCCTCACACAGGGTGACATCTAAAGGAAGGTGGGAAACCAAGATTTACTCAACAGTTGGATTCCTGGAAGTCTATTGGGCAATATCCAAATTTTAAAACCTAACACAATTGACTTTTCGAAGATACAGTATGCTAAGATGCAAAATTTGAGTCAAATCAACCTTCTGTTGACTGGTCTTAGTGGTAGATTGCCAATCCAACTGGGCTTATGTCCTTTCTAATGTTATTTTAGAGCATTTTGGGGGAGAAAGTTTAATAAATGTTTAATAAGAACATAATATTGCTATAAATAAATTACAGCACAAATTCTATGACCTAATGTAAATATTAACATTCTGTTAAAGGTGTACTAGTGCCCACAAGATACTTCAAGATCAGTACCAAAACAAATATAACCATTGCTTTGAAAGGAGCTTGAAAGTAACCTAGAATAGCGTATTATTTTCTATACATACACAAACACATAGTTTACCTTTGGGAATAAGAATATATATAGCCCGGCCAGACGTGGCTCAGCAGTTGAGCATCAGCCTAGGATCCAGGAGATCGCGGTTCGATTCCCGGTCAGGGCACATGCCCGGGTTGTGGGCTGGATCCCCAGTAGGGGGCGTGCAGGAGGCAGCCAATCAATGACTCTCATCATTGATGTTTCTATCTCTCCCCCTCTCCCTTCCTCTCTCTGAAGTCAATAAAGATATATTTTATATATATATAAATATATAAGCGTATATTAAATTAGAAAATAGTCACACACACACAAATGTCATTTAGGAAAGAGGTGCAATGGCCTGCATGTCTGGGTAGGGTCACTGTATCCCAGGGATTAAGAGCTTGTCTTTGGGTGCATCAGGCCTGGGATTGAATCCTGGCTCTGCCATTCATGCCCTATATTGAACTTGAGCAACCTTAACAGTGTTTTTGAAAAGATTAAAGTCCATATAGCAAAGAACCTGGCAGACAGTAAGTGCTCAATAAATGACAAAAATAAAATTTCAAATGTATTAAAGAGAATGTTAAAGTTAGAAGTCATTCCTCTTACTACCCCTTCCCTGATTCCATTTTTTAGATAAGAAAGCAGAAATGCTAAATGACTTGTCTAAGATTTCAATTACAGTGAAAAAATGTTGGGATTGGATGCAACCTTAAATCTCCCAATCCACATTTCTATGCTTCATATACTTCTGTGTCATACAGATAGATGCTTGGGGAGAGTCAAGCTGGTTCATGACATGTTTGGCTAAATGCTAAAAGACAGATTATCCGTGGTGTAATGAATCCTTGGTAGAAGATGTGAGATTAGTCTAGTGGTAGGGGTGACAGGGTGAGGACACCATCTGAATAGTGTCATCTCCGACATGGGATGCCTTCAGGCAATTTGAGTTTGGAGCTAGTGACCCTTCTTGAATAAAAAGTTTAGGACAAGAGGAACTTGGAACTTTCATGTAATAGACACTGTAATACTATAGGTAACAAAGCCAGTTTTCCATTTCTGATTTGTCATCAATTTATCAAGAAAGGGAAAATATGAGCTTGACTAAAAAGGTGGCCAGAGGGTGTTGTATTCAACTTAGAGGTGGCACGAAGGCTGATGTTCTGATTGATAATTACCTATTCCACATCTGTGCACCGATTCACTGTTTCCAGAACATATGTTGTCATGTGTTGCATTTCCTTTCTGAGTCAGAAGGAGACCAAAGGCACTGCAGTTGGTATGTTTTCTGCAGGGTGCTTTCGAGGATGTCTCATTCGAGAAGAACCCATCTGGACATCTTTTGCAAACCGTATTTCGCTCTGGGGTTCCTACAGAAAATACCAAACCATTTAGCACCTTCTTAAATACTTTCACAGCAGACATCCTCTCAACAAAGTTGTAGAAGCCTTTTCGCTTAGTTTTAACTGCTGTGTTGCTATGTTTTTACTATTAATGTTGCACCAAACTTCAGGTGTTCTCATTTTTCATTTCATTACACAGAACAAAACTACAGTTAGCCCTGTGGGCAGTCTCCCCTCCTAGTAATACAAACACAAGTTTGTTTTTCTGTTACCTACAAAACACGTCCAAAATATGAGAGGGAAGGAAAGAAGGGAGGGTGTTCATTAGTCCTGTGTGAGCTACAACATCAGTGGGTCTTGTTGTCCACACATTCTTTACACAATTATCCTGGAAAAGCATCAAGATAGCTGTTGTAGAACTGCTGTGTTCCTTCTCTGAAATCAGTACCCATCTAATGCTATGCCATTAAATTCCAGTCAGTCCCTCCCGAAGTTCTTTCTCTCCTGAATCATCATTGTGAAGCAACTCATAAGTATACTAACCTTGAGAAGTAAAAATTTACAGTGTTATAATAAACTTTTGAAGGTGGCAATAAAGTTGGCCACTGACTCAAAAGCATAAGCCTGCAGTTAAGCTATACAGTAAATGGAAGATGACCTACCGTTTGCTTAAACTGTTGAGTTTTAAGAGTCTGGTCGTTAAAATTTCAGGGAAGGGCGACTGCAAGGGCATTTTATTTCATGGTGGAAAAATACTTGACAAATTTGGAGAAATCACTGGTAGGCACACTTGAACCAGTCGACAACTAAAGATGCTATTAAAACTAAATACCTTCAAACCCCTGCCTCTATGATCATGGATAAATCATACATTACAGTGCATTTGCATATGAAAATACCTCCATCTAGTGTAAGCTAGTCGAACAGATTTAGACGGCAATGCTCCCAGGTAGCTTTTACAGGCCAATTCCTGCTTGTGAAAGATAACAAATGCAGAAGGGACAAATGAAATCTACCGGAAGTTAATAAACTTCAGTTATTAAAAATTCAAACCTCCCACCTCATTGTATCAAATCCAGGGGAGGAAAAAAGAGCAAAATGGTTTGATCCTAGTTTTATCTCCTGCTTCTTCTAAAGGGATTAATGATGCATTGACAAGTAAAAATGATGAAGCGCTGGCAGAAAAAAAGAGGTGGGAAGCTACGGGCAGAAAACCTTCACATATTAAATGCCACCTTCGGTATTGCAGTGACATCTTAGGAACCAGCTTACAAAGAGAGCTAATTATTTTTAAAAGTACTTTCTTACTATATTCCTCTTTTTAAAGGACATGCAACTCCACACCAAATTCTACAGTATCCCAAGTGAAGGTATTTGGGCAGGGAGTCCATAGTATTCTTTCACTGCTAATATCCCTTAAATAAGTGAACCTGGGCATATGGATCCAGGGGTCCCTTTGCCAATTGCCACATGTTCTGGAAAGCCAACTGCACAAAGAAGAACCTGTCGTTCTTCTGATACACATTGACGGGTTGTGTCTTTGCATGCATCTCAGTGAGAAAGTCATCAGTATAAGACATTCTTTCAGGTAGGTTAGCCTTTAAAGTTCTTTAACAAAAGAAATCCAAGAATGAGAGAAGTCAAGTTTCTTAATGTCTTTGGAGGCTTTATATAATGTCCTGGCTAAATAGGACTACCCTGTTTTATAATTGATAGAACTTTTTATAGAGGAAGATTTATCCATCTAAGTAAATGATTTGGCCTTATTAACATCAGAGGAAACATACAAAGTATAATCTGGCAGGCCAAATGTCAAATATCGTAATGATGAGAGGAGTTCTGTTTTACCATTGAGAATTTTACCACGCCGGCCCTAAGTAATGACATAGGAATTATAAGACTAACAGAGAGAATGAAGTAAGTAAAATACAGAGACAATCTGACTTCAAAACTACAACAAAAAAGAATGGTTAATAAATACTTGTTAGAATAACACTGCATAGTTCTTCCTTCTCTTTGGGCTGGAAACTTACTATCCATGAGGAGCTGCTCTGTGGGTTTTTAGGGAGTGAGAGTGGTACTAGCTTACTTCATTCTGCAAATAGATTTCCATGCTTATGTGAGTAAATCCTTGCAATTTCCTTCCCCCCCCCCCCAAACTCTAATTTCCAAGCTGCCTAGTCCCTTCATTAATTTTTCTACATATACAACTTACTGAATTGCATCAAATGAATTTGTTTTTGTTGGGTTTGGCTTTTCCCTCCTGCAACTTGGCTTAGCTTTTGAGTCCCAAAGTATCATCCAATAAAAACTAGGAAGTGGTATCAATTTCTCCCTCGAATACTCATATTAGAGATATTTTAAGAAACCCTCATGCAATTTGCACCTTCTGTGATTAATTTTGCAAGATTCACAACTTAGGAAACAATGGATTTCAGTTTTTGAATATGCTTGCTTTGTATTTGTCATCTAATAACTTAGACTCTGTATATCACAACTTTTGAAAGTTAAAATAGTTCCAAATAATTAGCATCCTCTAAACCGGTGGTTGTCAACCAGAGGTAATTTTGCCATCGGGGAATAATTGGTAACGTCTGGAAACGTTTTTGGTTGTCACCACTGGGGGAGGAGCATCTAGTGACTGAAGACCAGGGATGCTGCTAAACACTCTACAATGCACAGGACAGCTGCCCACAAGACGAATTATCCAGCCCAAAATGTCAGTGGTGCAAAGGCTGAGAAATACAGCTTCAAACTGAGTAATCAGAATCTGTACTGATTACTACTTCCTCCAGAAATTAAGCGAATTCCCCTTCATTTTTCCCAAGCTCTGAGTCTACACTAAAGCTTCGTGAATGTGAGAGGAAAAAAATGTGGGTTGCAGCTTTGAAAGAGTCAGCGCACACCGGCCCTAACCTACGCTGTTCAAAATGCAGAGAAAGTCCTTTGTTTATAGACAAGTAGTTACTCTTGCTTGACAATCTGTTCCGTCTAAGATAAAGCATAAGCTCTCCGATGAGATACTGCTACCGTCTTTATCATCCCGGACGCTCGACTCCCATGCCAAAGGAAGAACTAGCTTCATTTTTTATAATGAAATGCATCTCCCCTAGCTATTCTCATTTTTTGCGTAATTAATTATAACTGCTCATTGTTAACACTGCAGAGCCTCGTCAATATCAGCGTAATTACTCTCTTGGTATCAATGAAGATTTCTGATGTTTGTCAAAAAGCATCCCAGTTTGAAGCTGTCCATGCTGAAGTGAAACATGGAGGCATCTATCAGCTATAAACAGTGCAACCCCGAGTGTGTCCCTCTAAAAGAGCAATCCATCATGCATCTCATTAGCGAGCAATTTGCTGCATTTGAGATTTGTCACTAAATCGCCCTGGAGCGGCAGAGAATTCCTCTGAGAAAGGGCCGTTTGGCAGCACGCCAGACACAGAGCGCGTATCCAGCAGGTTCCATTACCTTTGCAATTTGCTATCCTTAATATCCTCAGACAAAAGCGTTCCCTTAAACGTTCCCCACTGCTTGACTTTACACAGTCTTAATCGGTTTTGCAGCGTGCTGGAAAGGTGGCACCTACCAGCTTTCAGCACCCCAAACCCGGGGGGGCAGCTTCTGTGCTTGGAGCAGAACTCCACCTCGAGGTAGCGCCCGTCTTCACACTCGCACACGCGGTTGTGGGTGCGGTTGCACTCCTGCTTGACGTACTGCAGCTCCTTGCACGCCGCGTTGCAGTACAGACACTCGTCGCTGGTGTGCCAGGCGTCCGTGTAGTAGCTGTCAGGGCAGGGGGCGCACGCGGTCTTCCGCCTCGCTGTACAGTGCTGTTTTAAGTAGGTGCCGGGGGGACATTTGTCACACATCAGCTGGTGAGAGGTTTCTGGGTCAAAATGAAGGTACTTCGGAGGAAATGTTTCTTGGGTCGTCCATTTCATGGAGATGTCCAGGAACTAAAAGAAGAAAGGAAACTGCAGCAATGCCAGCATGGAAACAGGGCAGTTCTTTTGTGCGAAGATGTCACAAGAATCAAAGAGTCCTTTACAGGCTTCCTGCCTCCTGAGCAGCACCACACAGTGAGTTCAGAGGCACCATTCTTGCCTCTGTTAGCTTAATCTCAAAGACACAGGTGGTGATGGCCGCGCACCTATATTAAGTCAGTCCAGCTCATAGAGGCCTGGAGTAGAAAGCTCATCAGAACAGAAATTATTACTGTGGGATGCAGCACTAAATAACCCACATGGCCTCAAAGACACTATCTCCCTGGGCTTCAGGATTCTCTCTAGATGACTGAGTTGGATGAACTAGTAGTTCTCAGAAGAGCCATACCACCCTCCTTGATAAAAATGTAGATTCCTGGGATCTACATCCCTAAACATTCTGATTCCACAGGTGTGGAAATGGGTTGGGGATTTAAGAAAAACTCTTGCAGTGATGCTGATGTATGGAGTCCATACTCAAAAATTATTCCTGTGCCTGGCCGGACATGGCTCAGTGGTTAAGCATCGACCTAGGATCCAGGAGATTGAGGTTCGATTCCCGGTCAGGGCACATGCCCGGGTTGCGGGCTCAGTCCCTAGTAGGGGGCGTGCAGGAGGCAGCCGATCAATGACTCTCTCTCATCATTGACGTTTCTGTCTCTCTCCCTCTCCCTTCCTCTCTCTCGGAAATCAATAAAGAGAT